TGGCTGTTCTACGCACAAGTATTGATCGGCGTGTCTATGGTCTTCAAATGTCGTTGAGCATTTAGTGATATGGACTGCCGACAGCTAACCACTTAATACCAAAATGTTGAGTCTTTTGCAAAGCTACCACTGTCCTAATGACAAGCCCGCAATGCTCAGTTGTGTGATTAACTCACATAGTTTCAAAAAGTTTCAGTAATTAATTGAAATGTACATTTCATTTTGACTTTCCACGTTACATTGTTTTATACAGATTGATTTAGCATCCAAAGCCGGTCTTCACAGGAGATATCGCTGCAATAAAATAGCATTACAATGCTCTGCAGACCATTGTGACGTCATCGGTTACCATCACTAATCACTCTGTTACTAAAGTTGGTTAGCAGTACTTTTAAATGCTCGTGTTTAAAAAATAAATTACGTGTGGGGGTTGTTTATCGTACAAAAAACACTGCAGGGAGAATATACCATGAGCGGCGGTCTTTAAATAGTTATGTCTGGACAAGACAGTCCTGTGGTTTATGTTATGGACAACGATCCACGACGTCGGGGTACGATGACACGCAATCATCCAAGTCACCGAACCTGACCACCCGATCCATTCACCTGCCGCTAACGACCAACATAAGTTGACCGATTCTAACCCCGAATCCAATAAGGTTACCATATAACCATCTTCCGGAGGCAAGAGAGTTAACTGACTTGAAAAGTCCAGTTTCCACCCTTGCCGAACTAGGCTGGAAATCCTGGGCTCGATCGTAGCGCCACCAATGGCTATGACGAGTTATGTCCCTTCTATGCCTTCCCTATGGTCCAATCAGATTCCACCTCTCGTATCACTTGCATTTGCTTCACAAAATGGCGGCATCCGGTCAAGACGATCTGATCGATAATCAAGATCTTTATTGTGTTAAAAACGTGTTTTACATCGCCAAGTGCATCAAATAACGTGAACACCTTGATTAAAAACTCCATATTACCATCCTAGTTCGGTAAGAGTGGAAACTGGACTTTCATAGTCAGTTAACTCACTTGCCTTGGGAAGATGCCATATAACAGATAACAGGTACACTTCACTAAGCCGACTGAAGTGTGTGTTTGTTTTCTCTGATTTTTTCTCTCTCTCTGTGGTAACGTTAATCATGATCATTCACTGTATGCCTCTTTTATGTATCTGAATTCTCGGTAAAATATTTACTAATATTATTCAGAATGTCATTTTCGGTTTGTACACGATGGAACGCATACACACCTCCTCGTGGTCTGGCTATTCTGACCGCAGGGGGCTCAAATCCTGCCCTACCGTAACATGAAGCATGTCAATATTACATCAAGGTCACAATTTTATCCATGGAACAGAATAATACCCAAATGGATTGATAATTTAATTTAGGAGCACATTTACAGTGTCCGAATGTCATGTGTGTCCTACTAGTGGTTCTGTATGTGAAACGATAGTTTTTCTTTTAGTTTTACTTATTGATCAGCGCCTTGTATCAATATACTCACAGCCAAAAGAAACGCGAACCATTATAACGTAGAGACGTATCTACGTTGAGAAGAGGTGTTTCCAATGTGTACCAATTAATGACAAAACTAACAATCAGTTAAGTGTTACCACAGAGTGTCTTTATTCTTATCACGAAATGCTGCATCTGATTTCCAAACTTTACACGCTAATCCTGCACGAGACAAATGTTGCACCTCTAGTCATGGATCTATGACGTCAAACGTGATGCGTTCACGAGCATCGGTTTACACAACATGCCAGTTTGTTTGTTTGTGCATCGAACCAATCTAATATCGCTTGAATATATTAAGTAAGTTTTCATGTATTGTATTCGCGTTTCTTTTGGTGGTGAGTATATATGTTGCCTTGTAACTTTCAATAGCACTGATATTGATGTTTCTCAAATTACAGTTTTCACTTCATGATTAAATTTTAATTCGCATATATGTCTTACGTTGTACACAGCTGAAATTAATATCAGTTCGATTTCAGGGTCTTTATTGTCAGGTATTGTATTGACAAAATAACACAGTCATCCTCTGTTCTCTCAACTGGCACTTAATATCTTTCAAATACTCCCCTGAATAAATACTGTAGAAAAGAAACAATCAGTCGCTGATTTGCCTAAGGGAAAGTATGCAATTTAAACGATTTGTGATCGTTAAAGTTAATTGATTTAAGCTCTGTGTCCGGACTTTGACACATTGCAAATGTCGCTTAAGACATGTCCCCAGGGCATATCAAATATCAATACAAATCTGTTTACTTTGAGAGAGAATGAAATAAATTTAGTTTTAAATTGCATGTTAGATCCCATGAATATATCGATGGGGTCCGGATGAAGCTGCAAGGACACACCTAGAAGTATGATTATATTCATTTACAGTAAAGTGCGGTTATAACGAACTCAAAGGGACTACTAATTTTAGTTCGTTATGACCGTAGTTCGTTATAAGCATATATACAGCATAACTACAGCAAATAGTCGAGACCAAAACAGTAAGTTCGTTATATCCGTAAGTTCGTTATAAGCGTGTTCGTTATAACCGTAGTTTACTGTAGTTAGGTAACTATGGTGACTGGGAACGATTATGGTCACCCCACATTGAAGCACGTGTAACACATGCTGTGTCTCCTTGGACAAGTGACTTTGTTGGAAATGTGCCTCTGTCCACCAAGCAGTGAATGGGTACCCGGTAGGATGAGGTAGTAAACTGGTTGTTAATCTTCCAACGCCTGACAGGCGACTCAGATTGTATACTCCCCAGGGAGCTGAGAGTGATTGTATAGTGTCACAGATCACTTGATCGGAGTAATAATAGTGTAGCGCTTTGAGCATGCTCCTGTGTCGTGTGGAAATAGAGCGCAATATAATTGGCTTATTAGTAGTACAGTAAACTACGGTTATAACGAACACGCTTATAACGAACTGACGGATATAACAAACTTACTTTTTTGGTCCCGACTATTTGCTGTAGTTATGCTGTATATATGCTTATAACGAACTACGGTTATAACGAACTAAAATTAGAAGTCCCTCTGAGTTCTTTATAACCGTAGTTTACTGTAGTAGTATTTACAAATTAAAATACAAAAATGCAGCACGGAGGTTTTGGATGATCCTGGCACAGTCAGGCTGGTTAGGCTCATCATCAGCCCAGGACCCCTTCCCCCTCTTCACGCAGCCCAGACAGCGAATGGGATTTCTCCCAGGAAGCGCTGCCTTGTCAAACTCAACGAGAACCGTTCAGAGAATGTGAAGACTCCCAAAAACACTGCATCTTTCTGCATTACCCAGATTGTCAGAAAGGCTGTTTTCCTGGAAGCAAACCCGGGTACTCTCCCAATGTCAGTCAACAGATTGGGAGGTCTCACACCTAAGGCACCGAGAACATGGGTACTTGGGATGCAAGCGTGAAATTTAGAAAGCATCTTTGCCATGCTTTTCCTGAATCTTGTCAATCACATTAGTGTCAAAAGGAACAGAAAATTTAATGCTAAAAATGATTTCAATGGATTTATAGACAAGGACAAGATCAGGTTTCTTGACCTGGATGTGCCCGAGGCTCTTTACGGGCCTATTCCTAAGAATTTTGTATTTATCATTTTCCATGACGCCCTCTACATATTCTGGGTCGTACCATGGATGGACCTCTGTGTCAAAACCACAAGCATGGCGCCACTCCATCATTTCGCTTACGATACTGTGTTTGTGGCAAAGCGGGGCATCCACTGACAATGTGTTGTACTGTCTCATTAAATTCATAACATAATCTACATTGCATATTTACATTTTGATGCCAGATCACACATTGGCGGTTTCGAGTGGGAGGTGACTGGTCCTGAGCAGCAAACAGAAAGCTTCCTGTTTCACTTTTCAGGCCAGCCGACTTCACCCAAGCGAAGGACGCTGCAGGGTTGCTGATCCTCTCAACACACTGCATGTACTCTCGATGCAGTGGTCGTTCAGATAGCCTATCCTTGAAAAACTGGGCCGATTTGATATGACACTTCGCTTGGTTGATACTCATTTGTGTACCGTCCAGCAATACAGAACCATGAACAAACTCAGGTTATGTCCCACATCCTTAGCTCGTTTAAAGGGCAAGTTCACACGGAAATGAACCTTATTTTCTTGTACTTTTTCCACAATAAAAGTGTTAACCTAGAAGTGTCATAGACAAAAATATAAAAATATCACAATTAATTAACATCTGTTTCGCATTAAAACGATTTATATTTTTCACATTTACCAAGTGTTCTATTTCCATAACAAAAACACTATGGCTTATGCCCCTTGCAATATGACGTCATTGGTGCCCATTGATAAACATTATGACGTCATCATACTTTGCTAGAGCCGCTTCACGTGGTGTGTGATTCTAGCGTCTCAGATGCCAGCCAGCATAGTGTTATGCTGAGTCACCACTGCGCCGGAGTGTGTCGTAGGCCATGTTGTTTTACCGAAAACTTGTACTTGATATCTTTTGCGTTCAGAATAGACAGGGACCCAGTTGAATTGGCACCAATTACGTCATAATCTAAGGGGGATAACTCAGGCCTGTTTAGCTCGAAAAACGAAGGCCTCATAACGGCATATCATTTTCACACTATTGTGAGCTTCCTACTTTCACTGTGAAAAAATGAGTGTATATTTTCAAACACAGATACTAACTAATTCTAAAATTGCGTTTTGTTTAGAAAAAGAAAGAAAGTGATTTTTGCGTGTACACTTCCCCTTTAAGAAAACTGTGAAATTCTTTGTTTTCATCATGAGTCTATGTGGTAGTCATAGTAGTAGTGTTTTCAAATAGTGTTTTCAAATAGATGATCATATATAGTAATGGGAAGGAATTTTGACTTCAATGGGTATGAATGAAACAGGCTGACCAGACAGACAGATTTAGAGAAACAGTTTGACAGACACAAGCAGACAGGCAGACAGGCACAAGCACACATATACAGTGACGCTCTGTCAGACACAGACAGTTGACAGACACAAGCAGACCAATATACAAAGTTGCACAAAGGACATTTATTCCTAGCCAGCACTATTGTCTGACTCTTTTGTCCGACGACATGAACGTGCAAGTGACCTTAAATCACGCGTACATTATGACAGTTTACACCGGCAGTATTTCTCTAGTCATCCAATGGTTGGTTGGTTGTTTAACGCCGCACTCAGCAATATTCCAGCTATAAATAATCGAGTCTGGACCAGACAATCCAGTGATTGATATCATGAGCATCGATCCACGCAATTGGAATCGATGACATGCATCAACCAAGCCAGCGAGCCTGACAACCCGATCCCGTTATAGTCATCCAATGAAACTGGCATGTTACACCTCACTTGATGAATTGTTTAAATTTATAGAGTGAGTGAGTGAATATGGTTTTACGCCGCTTTTAGCAATATCCCAGCAATATCACGGAGGGGGACACCAGAAATGGGCTTCAAACATTGTACCCATGTCGGGAATCGAACCCGGGTCTTCGGCGTGACGAGCGAACGCTTTAACCACTAGGCTACCCGACCTCCCCTTAAATCTATAGATCATCCTTGTTTACAGTCAGCTCGGGTTCTTCTCTCGCGAACGTCATTATCTTAGTTACCAAACACCTCAGCGACTGAAGTCAGCGGTAAATGCTCGCCTTTGAAAGCAACCACAACTTCACCACGCCAACGTTGAACCATGAAGGTCTTAAGGATTGTCGATACATACATATATCCCAATTAATTTCAAGAAACCTTTCCATCACGTATGTCTTGGGAACCTGGGATGATGAAATATTTTGTCAATAATATAGCTCCTCGTTAAGACTGGCTAATCGCCACCTAATGGCTGCGAGTTGTCTGCCTGGGAGAATATATGCGTGGCATATAGACCTGGTACTGTCGCCGGCTGCAATGAATGTCCAAACAGTGACTGATCGGACGGAGATATTGCTCGGTAGATGTAGGCAGTTTCATGGACGGTGTTGTTGTCGACGACGTCGTTGTGGAAGACGCAAGGTCTGGAATAAAACCTCAATGAATTATTTTAAAGGGATATGTCATGTCATTCTGACTGAATCTTAGAAGTTCCAGAAAGAGTATAGAGGAATATTATCATAATCTATATTGTGTACAAACGTATCGCGTGAGAAGTATTGGCTGTGTGTGTGTTGTACGTGTTCATCACTCGGTATAACACGGATGGTACGTGTTCATCACTTAGTATAACACGGATGGTACGTGTTCATCACTCAGTATAACACGGATGGTACGTGTTCATCACTCAGTATAACACGGATGGTACGTGTTCATCACTCAGTATAACACGGATGGTACGTGTTCAACACTCAGTATAACACGGATGGTACGTGTTCATCACTCAGTATAACACGGATGGTACGTGTTCATCACTCATTATAACACGGATGGTACGTGTTCATCACTCAGTATAACACGGATGGTACGTGTTCATCACTCATTATAACACGGATGGTACGTGTTCATCACTCAGTATAACACGGATGGTACGTGTTCATCACTCGGTATAACACGAATGGTACGTGTTCATCACTCAGTATAACACGGATGGTACGTGTTCATCACTCATTATAACACGGATGGTACGTGTTCATCACTCAGTATAACACGAATGGTACGTGTTCATCACTCAGTATAACACGGATGGTACGTGTCCACCACTTAGTATAACACGGATGGTACGTGTTCATCACTCAGTATAACACGGATGGTACGTGTTCATCACTCAGTATAACACGGATGGTACGTGTCCACCACTTAGTATAACACGGATGGTACGTGTTCATCACTCAGTATAACACGGATGGTACGTGTTCATCACTCAGTATAACACGGATGGTACGTGTCCACCACTTAGTATAACACGGATGGTACGTGTTCATCACTCAGTATAACACGGATGGTACGTGTTCAACACTCAGTATAACACGGATGGTACGTGTTCATCACTCATTATAACACGGATGGTACGTGTTCAACACTCAGTATAACACGGATGGTACGTGTTCATCACTCATTATAACACGGATGGTACGTGTTCATCACTCATTATAACACGGATGGTACGTGTCCATCACTCAGTATAACACGAATGGTACGTGTTCATCACTCAGTATAACACGGATGGTACGTGTTCATCACTCAGTTTAACACGGATGGTACGTGTTCATCACTCAGTATAACACGGATGGTACGTGTTCATCACTCAGTATAACACGGATGGTACGTGTTCATCACTCAGTTTAACACGGATGGTACGTGTTCAACACTCAGTATAACACGGACGGTACGTGTTCATCTCTCAGTATAACACGGATGGTACGTGTTCAACACTCAGTATAACACGGACGGTACGTGTTCACCACTAGGTATAACACACATAACATATTAATGCTTCCACTGCACTCAACACTACCTCGTGAAGGTAATACTACCTTTAATGCTTACACTGCAGTCAACACTGCCCTGTGAAGGTAATACCACCTTTAATGCTTCCACTGCACTCAACACTGCCCCATGAAGGTAATACTACTTTTAATGCTTACACTGCACTCAACACTGCCCCATGAAGGTAATACTACTTTTAATGCTTACACTGCAGTCAACAGTTCCCTGTGAAGGTAATACCACCTTTAATGCTTCCACTGCACTCAACACTGCCCCATGAAGGTAATACTACTTTTAATGCTTACACTGCAGTCAACACTGCCTCGTGAAGGTAATACCACCTTTAATGCTTCCACTGCACTCAACACTGCCCCATGAAGGTAATACTACTTTTAATGCTTACACTGCACTCAACACTGCCCTGTGAAGGTAATACCACCTTTAAAGCTTCCACTGCACTCAACACTGCCCTATGAAGGTAATACTACTTTTAATGCTTACACTGCAGTCAACACTGCCCTGTGAAGGTAATACCACCTTTAATGCTTCCACTGCACGCAACACTGCCCCATGAAGGTAATACTACTTTTAATGCTTACACTGCACTCAACACTGCCCCATGAAGGTAATACTACTTTTAATGCTTACACTGCAGTCAACAGTTCCCTGTGAAGGTAATACCACCTTTAATGCTTCCACTGCACTCAACACTGCCCCATGAAGGTAATACTACTTTTAATGCTTACACTGCAGTCAACACTGCCCTGTGAAGGTAATACCACCTTTAATGCTTCCACTGCACTCAACACTGCCCCATGAAGGTAATACTACTTTTAATGCTTACACTGCACTCAACACTGCCCTGTGAAGGTAATACCACCTTTAAAGCTTCCACTGCACTCAACACTGCCCTATGAAGGTAATACTACTTTTAATGCTTACACTGCAGTCAACACTGCCTCGTGAAGGTAATACCACCTTTAATGCTTCCACTGCACTCAACACTGCCCTATGAAGGTAATACTACTTTTAATGCTTACACTGCAGTCAACACTGCCATGTGAAGGTAATACCACCTTTAATGCTTCCACTGCACTCAACACTGCCCCATGAAGGTAATACTACTTTTAATACTTACACTGCAGTCAACACTGCCTCTTGAAGGTAATACCACCTTTAATGCTTCCACTGCACTTACCACTTCTTCATGAAGGTAATGCCTACATTGACTGGTTCCATGGCACTCGTGAATGTATTACTACATTTAATGCTTCCACAGCACTTTGGAAGGTTATACCACCTTTAATGCTTCCACTGCACTCAAAACAGCCCCCTGAACGTAATACCTTCTTTAATGCTTCCACTGCACTCAGAAGAGCCCCGTGAATGTAACACCTCAACACGCATATACAAAAAGCTTTAAAAGACACTTGGTGTGTGTTAACTGGGGCATTCCGTTACGTTTTCTACATAATACATGATGAAGATCCGTGCCAAGACAGCCTCTTGATAAATGTAACGGGACTAGGTTACATTATACCGAAAAAGGGCTTATTGGTAGAACCACAGTGTCACTATTAAGCATAGATACCATCTACAATGTACATGTACTACAATTGAAATACTTAATGGGATATATGTCAATACATAAGTATGCCGAATCGGGGCGTTATGTCGTCAAGGAAGGGCCCTTTAAGTATGTAAATGAAGCATGCATAGAGTGTAATTCAGGCTTACGTGTTGAATGGCGGCATAGGACCACCAATTGCACTCCAGTAAATGGAATGGTTCCTGGTTTCAAAGCAAATATATTGACTCTCGTGAGTGCGGTCTGTCCCTGCACGGTATGTGAAGGTACAATTGTAGTATTTACTGAACCGTTGAAGCTGGTGTGTGTATGTTCAGGTGTGAAGAAACGGAAATGCGATTCAGCAGACCGGTTCTCGCATAGAATGTCAGCGTACTTTACGATAGTAGGACCTGGTATTGATCATTAAAGGAAACACTATTGATTCTGTAATTGATTTGAGTACTTGGGGCAACATATTTGTAGACTCACAGGTGAATGGAAATTAAAACAGATCAGAACTTCTCTCTAGCAAAATCATATACACCTGGAAAATTTTTAAGCATATTTATTTGTAGACTCCAGACTCTGATGTTTGATGGTGGCTAAAAGTGAATCAAACAAGACATGGTTATTCGATGGTGATGTATTTGATACGGGTATCATAGATGTGTTTTGGTCCGTATGTTTGCAGTGTTTCGGCGACTGTTTTCAGCCTAGTAACGTTTTGATAAGGTTTGAAATGTGTTTGTCAAATCCAAATTTCAAGTGTATACTTTCTTTTATCCGGCTGTATATATTTACTTTCTGTTTGCAACAGCCAATAGAAGAAACACACTGTTATTGTTTACATAGTGACATACTCAAGTTGAACGACAGGACCCGTAATCGATTATCATATTATTTGTAACTGTTCAGTGGTAATATATATTTGACACCCCCCTTAATAGCTTCCTCTTCATATTTTTATCATATGGTATGACCTTGACCTTCTGGAGACCTTCCGGAGAAACATACCGTGTTCAGAAGATACCTTTGGGATCTTAGAAATACATCTAAATGAATCTATTGTCATGCAGATACTTCCACAAAATGCATAGAAGTTCGGTATGCATGAAAATGAACAGGGGCTGTTGTTTTTATCTTGTGTGTGTGTGTGAGTGAGTTGGGTGTAACGCCGCTTTGAACAGTATTCCAGTTACATCACGGCATGTCAGCTTAAAACCCTGAAATGATTCAGATGTCAGAGGTTTACCACTTTGGTTAAACCCACGAACAAGGGTATAATGCTGACAAACCTGGGCGAACCGAGATCCGACCCCACAATCATAGGTTTCTGGCTCTGTACAGCCAAATGCGGCGCCTTCAACTACTGGACCACCCGTGCACCTCTTTTTCCACATTCAATGATTATAAAGAATAAATAAACCATATTCTATCGCCGTTTGATTTATATTTGATGATACGGAATAACCTATTAAAGAGGGTTTCGTGATTTGAGTGGCGTCAATGTGGTTCTTATCCATGGAAATACATATTAAAAAAAAGAGTTGCGTCTCTTGGTCGTACCAGGATCAGCTGGGCGTATACGAAGTTACAATTTTATGATTCAGCTTTGGAATGTCCCCACCGTTAATCCTACAGACTGTGACATAACTGAATTCTATTGAAAGCATCGTTCAATTCAGCTTACTCTGACACTCGCACTCATCAATACAGCAGATCGCGTGAAATTATAACATCCGTTTCGTATGGATTTATAGTTTCTGTTGAGTGAGTTGGATTTAACACCGCTTTTAACAGTATTCCAGTTATACCGCGGCGTGTCAGCTTAATGTGGGAGGGAAGCCCAAGTGATGCAGGTCTCAGACGTTTACCACTTCGGTGAAACCCATGAGCACGGGTATGGTGCTGACAAACCTAGAAACATAATTGGAGTGAACCGGGAATCGAGCCCACAATTATAGATTAATGGCGTGCCCAAGGGACGCAACTCAGCACAGCGAATCGCGGCGCCTTAGACGACTG